CCAAGCCACAGGGCAAGCCACGTGCTGAAAACCCAAGGTGTCAGGACACTCAAGTGCTGACATTTTTTACAGTTTTCAAACTACTCTACAAATCACCCCCGAACTCTACAATTAAAGCAGATATAACGTTCCTGGAAAAACAAGGCCATTTTGCATATTTGCGCCAAGAAACATTCCCAAGACTGTTGATAGATTCACTGTTGATAGAAACAAACAGCAATTTGCATGGTTAATTACAACCGACAGATAAATTACAGGGTCTGATAATACTAGCAGAATCGGGTAGAACGTGGATGGACACCGGCAAAGCTAGGCTGCACAGAGAGAAAATATCAAACGGGACTAACAGGAGGCAAAAAATTATTACTAGCGGTTACTCCTGGGGAGGAAGGAAATGGATGCCAGCAGGAAGAGAAGTTTGGGGTACATGGAGGTAACGTATTTCTCCTTGGAAATGACAGTGGATCAACAAGCCCCTGGCCTTGTCATTCTTTATACCACAACTCCACCTTTATCAACGCAGCTCCCGTCTCCCCGTGTTTCCCGGATCAAACAACCACCAACCAAATACACTGGGGGTGGCAACAGTGGGGATGATTGCAACTGTGCCCAGCAAGTGTAGACTTTTATCAATTCCCTTCCATTATTCCACGGACGTTACGCATGAACAACTATCACACAGCATTTAGACCCTCTTACCTATCCATGATCTAGAAAGGACTTAGAATGTGGAGGAAGATGTTCACAGATTATATGCAAATACGACGCCATTTTGCCATGTGATACATGCAGGGGGATACTCCTCCACCCCCCCCCCCAGATTAGGAAAGATGACTGTATTACTTCACGTCTACTCCCAGAATGTAATGATTCCAAATAAAATTTATTTTCCTAATTTTATGGACTGGTAGCTGCTGAGCGGATTACAAGACGAGCTGTTCCCTGCCTTCTCAGGCTCCACTCGCGTTCAGAACCCCGGCACTCGCCACATTAAAGGGTGCTTTCCAAGAAGTCGTGGAAAATGACACGCCAACAAATACTCATGTGGAATTTTCTTAATATGCATTTTCCGTGAACTTCTTGAAAACCCCTGGTATAACTGTACCGCACTGCCATGTCACTTATGTCACCTAACGGGTCACTCACGGACCTTGCCTAAGAAGTTCAGTAAGTCCCCGGGCCTGTGATTCTGTTGCTAGCGTGGGGCTCCTCAAGGCAGGGTCCCCCAACCGACAGCAGCCACATCACCAGCAAACTGGATGCAAATGCAGCTGCTGGAGTAGCACCTTAGATGTGCTAAACCAGAAACACTGGGGCCTCGGCTCAGGTTGTCCCACCCACCTTCCAGGGGATTCTGGTGCTCCCAACTGCCAACTCTTTTTTGGGGGGAGAGGGGGGGGCGGGGCACAGCCCAATTCCTGGACCTTCCAGCCCAGCCATCCTTCCTCTGTGCATCACTTCAGGGAATCTCTTCATGCTCTTCCTCTGAGAAGGTTGAACTTCCTCTTAATGTACAATCAGGGGTCATTTCCAAGAGCCTGCAGCGCTTTCCTTTGCCCTCCATTTTCCCTCGCTCCTTGCCCACTAAGTAATTTTGTTGCTTTGTTTTGTTCCTTCATCTGGGGTCAGAAACAGACTCCTCTTCAGCAGTGCTGTCTGCAGTTCTCACAGGGCTCTTGCACAAGTGTTTTCTCAACGGAAAAATTAGCACAGGAAAGAAATATATTAAGCCGGCCTGAACAATCTAAGGACACCAGAAGCGCTGCTAAAGCACAAAGCTGTTGACCTGATTCTAACTTTCATAACAGGCTCACTCCCAGTTTGCTGTAGCCTTTCACCATACCAGGGTTCCAGAAGGGCCCTCTTTTCTAGCTCCCTGGTACCGGCCAGGCTTGGAGCAGAAAGTCATCACTCAGGCCCAGCATGGTAGCCTCGCAGCTTACGTCTTCGTCTTCCACACACCCATACTGGCACCGATCCTGATCCCGGGGACCCCACTTCCCATCCAGCTCCCTGTTTGTGGCCTGGGAAAGCAGTTGAGGATGGCCCAAAACCTTGGGATCCTGTAAGGCTGCAGAAGAGGCTCCAGGCACCAGGCTCCTGGCTTTGAATTGACTCAGCTCCAGCTGTTGCAGCTGCTTGGGGAGTAAATCAACAGATAGAAGATCTTCCTCTATTTCTCTCCTCCTCTCTGCCTTTCCAACAAAATTATAATAAATCTTTAAAAAAAAATCATCACTCTTTTCTCAGTTCACTCCTCTGCTCTTGGGGTCCTCCTGTTGATCTCAAACACTGTAGGCAGTGGGCAAGAAAGAAAAATTCTAATGCTTGTCTGAAATGCCATTCTCTGAGTGCCACACTTTTTTTCTATTTGGGGCTCTTCTGTTCCCTTTAACCATCTTTTTATGCTAACTCATTCGACACATTCTGAAGGTGACATCAATAAAACCGATTGTTACCTCAACTATGAGAAACAGCACGTGCTATGACACTCTGTCACTCAGCATTCACTGTCTGGTTTTGGAAGAACAAGTACTAATTCCATGAAGAAAGAGGTGGCGTCTTAACACAAAGGACAGAATAAAAATATGATGCACAGAACAGTTTTTATGGTAAATGACATAACTGGATTTGGTGACCACTAAACTGACTTCATGTCTGCATTGTGACATTTTACTTGACTGTGACCCTGAGCAAATCACTTCATGATAGATTCCACACAAACCCATTGCACACAGTATCTTCACCTCGTAGACCCTTAATGAAAACATAACTGGTGTTTTCAGTAAGAATCCAGCCAACAAGATCAACTCAGGTCAAATTGTACATAGCTGAGTGAGTGCACCAGAGTAAAAGTCTTCTCTAAGGAAGGTGCGATGGTTTGGATAAGAAACATGCTTGCTTTAGAAAGAAATCATCAGACAAATTTTAGTGTGAAACGCCTTCAGAAAAGGAGGGAAAAAATCACATCGAACTTTTGAGGTCATTGTGATGGTACAGGTTGCAGTTGAACTGGTATACCAAGAAGAGAGAAATAGGAGTTAAAAATAAAAAAAAATAGGAAGGAAGGTTTGGGGGCTCTTACTGAGGAGGTAGAAAAAGGCAGTGCCATTGATAAGGAGTTGAGCATGAAGTGTGCTAAGAGCAGACACTCATGCTAAGAGAGAACGGGTTTGATGCTAATAGAAATTACACCATGAAGTTCAGGGCACACAGCCAAACAGCAAGCAAGAGAAACTAACCAACAACTACAAAATGTAGTCCTCCTATTTGAAAAATTAAGAGGACAAGAACACAAGGGGATCCAATGATTTAGATGAAGGTCATAGGCCAGGCAGTGCACTGATATCACTCCCTGATGCCTTGGCAACTGACATCATCATGAGAAACAACACACATCAACAGGGTGAATAGTAGCAGGGGTGCCCCACCTGACCCAGCCCAGGCCAATCCTCTCATAAGCACACAGGGTCTAATGTTTCTCCTTATGACCCTGCATAACTGTGTAGTGGGTGGGAGAAGAACTCCAAGGGAAAGGCTGCTGCCTGGGGCAGTCATGCAGAAAGCAGAGGGGAGGCTTGCAGGAGCCCTCTCCCAGCAGGAAGTAGAAGCAGCAGCCAAGGGGATACTGCTCCTTGATATCAGATTCCATCGTCGAGAGTTGGAAAGATACAAATAAAATTCCACCAATTGGTCTCCAGTCATTGTGGTCTGAGAGCCGTTGCAGACCTCCCCGCTTCCTCAGTAAGGACACTTTCTTCCCCCCCCCCACAGATAAAGGAATCCTCAAACATTCCTATGCGGTGATATTCAGACCTAGAACATCCAGGAGATGACTGAAGTTGAGCATTTTTCTCACTAAAGGAATCCAGCAGGAAGCTTTCTAAGGGATATTATTCTGATTTTTTTCCACATAAACTGATGCAGAGCACGTGGCTGTCTTTTTCTGTCTGACATTCCACAAAGCTCACTGGTTGAGTTTTCACAAATATGTAAAGACAAGTGGTTATCACAGCCGTCAGGGTTCAGTGGCACTCCATTACCCGGAGCACTGGCCCTCAGGCTGAGACTGTAGTCAGGGCAGCTCACTTCCCACCCCAGGCAGCCACCCATCTGCTCCAAGTCTTCTCAGAACTGCACTGCTAGGCACACCGGGACTCCTGGAGAATTTAATGATCGAACAACAGCAGTCACCACGGTCAAGCACTCCCAATCTGAAATGCTCCAAAAGCTAAGACTCTGTGAGTTCCAATACAAAGACAAAGATGTTTTGGATTTTAGAGCATTTCCTAATTCAATATTCATTGTAGGCATGCAAATAAAGGAAATCTAAACTAAATAAAATCAATCTCCTGCAAACATTCCAAAATCTAAGACACTGCAGGTCACAAGCATTTCAGAAAGGGATACTTAATCTGTAATTATAATAGTGTTGAGTAACATATATATTCCATTGTATCAGTGACTTTTGAAGCATATTTCAATGAGCACACTACAGCTTTGAGAAACTTCTAAAAGAAAAGTTAGGAAAGAGAGAGGAAGATGGTAAGGTCATGTAATGGCCACGTCATAGCTGGATTCAAACCCTGTCTCATTCCCGATCTGTTTCCTTAACCTTAGCTGATTCCCCCTCCATAGGAAGTAGAGTCAGACAAACTGGAAGGAATAACAGTCAATTTCAGGAAGCTCAATGTAGTCCTGGATTTGCGTTACTCTAAAAACATGAACAAAAGATGCGTATAAAAGATTCTGGCTGGTTAGACCAAAGCAATAACTGAATATGACATGAAGCCTGTATCCTAAAATAGCTTCCTTAAAAACAGTTGTGAAACCACCATGAACATGAAGCCAAGACCTGCCATGTTTTCTTGAACAGACTTGTGCAGCAAAACTTAGAAAAATAAGCTCACCTAATACCGAAATCATGTCTCAATACACAGGCCTTTGGACTTGCCCTAGTGGAAAGGCAACAATTCCTCTCTGTCTTGGGTGTATTTCAGGTTGGAGTCCCCGACCCGATCGCTAGTGATGGAGGCCCCCAAAGGAGTCGAGATCAATGCAGAAGCTGGCAACATGGAAGCCACCTGCAGAACCGAGCTGAGACTGGAGTCCAAAGATGGAGAGGTAAGCAAAGGCAAGGACAGCAGCTCCAGTGGGTCAACCTTCCCCGGCGCTGATTGGTCCCTGGAGTTACTGTCATTTGACATCAACAAAAACAGCCAATTAGGAGGTTCTGTTTTATAGGGGGAAAAAATGGGCAGTTTGAGTGTAGCCCACAATACCAAAAAAAAAAGTTACAATTCATGATTGGTAGTGCTGGGATAATGTTTTGTATTGTAAGCACTGAAATATGTGACCCCAACAGTACATACTAAACCCAAACTCTGTCTTGCTGACTTAAAAATAAGATTGAATTAGCCAGTAATAATTAAGTTGGATGTCACACATACCTGGCAAAATAAATGAACCTAGTTTATTCTACTTATTAGCTAGTTGTGGTATGTTTCTCTTTCTATCAAGAACAAAGATCAGAATCCAGCAGTCATCCCAAATCTAAGCAAGACTAACTGGAGACTCGGCCAAGAAGAGAATAAAGGGTTACAGAAACTCACTGTCTTACCCCAGCACAGTGTCAGTGAGGCAAGCAGAAATGCTGCCGTTCTCTTTGCGAATCAATCAAATCTAGCCTCAAAATATGACCTGAACACAAAGTATTCATTAGTGTATGTCCCTATGTAAGAATAAAAATAAGATGCAAAATACTGTTCTCAAGGTAAAATGTTCTCCAGCCTTTCCCTTCCTTTCACAAAGTGTCATCTGATGCACACCTCAGCCCTCTTTTGATTCTGTGGGCCTTTGCTCTTTTAGAGACTCCTTAACTTAGATAAAAGGCAAATTGAGAGACAGCCAGGGCAAGGCCAGGCCAAAGCCAGGAATGCCATCTGAGTCTCTCACATGGTTGCTGGGATTCTAGTACCAGGCCTCGTCCCCCAGGCACAAGTGCACGAATCTGTATCTGAAGCGGAGGTGGGACCTGATCTCAGGCACTATGAGATAGGTTGCCAGCATCCCAAGCAGCAGCTGAACTCACTGCACCACAGAGCTCCAAAAATGTTGTCTTAAAACTTAGATAAAGCATTCAGTTATGCAACCACCTCTTCAAACTGCAAGCCACTCTCAGGTGTCGTCTGTACCTGCACATACAGTTCACAGCTGTCAGACTCTTCAGCAATCAGTTATATTCACAATCTGATGACACCTTCCACCACTTCTGTAGGAATCTATTTTTGTAAAGCATATGTAAACACACTGTAAGTTGCTACTTAAAAGGAGGGGGCGGGAAGCTCACTTGACATTTAAACATAGAGAATACTGCACACTTCACTCTCCTTGCACACAAAACCAGGTAGCATACAAGAAATCCCATACTACAGAAAATCGTTCAGTGTAGCATCTGCCCTTTTATTTGACTCAGGCTCTGTTCTCATCCCAAACCCACGCCTACGGATCGCTAACGTGGGCCCATGCAACATTGTTGTCCTAGAACAGAAGCTCCAGCGAGGACATAGACTGCAGTGGTCTTCTTTCTCTCCAACTCCTCAGTGCCAAGAAAATACAACACACACTAAGTGCTCAAGAGGCTTGGCTTACTGAACTGTCATCTGTCATCATGAACTGACTCTCTCCTTCCTCTTCACTCTTTCAGATTAAGTTAGATGCCGCGAAAATCAAACTACCCAGGCTGCCTCATGGCTCCTACACACCCGCAGGAACGAGGCAGAAGGTCTTCGAGATCTGCGTCTGCGCCAACGGGAGATTATTCCTGTCCCAGGCAGGAACCGGTTCCACTTGTCAGATAAACACAAGTGTCTGCCTTTGAGAGACAATCCGTCGTGGACATTGTTGGCAGCAAAAAAGGCCTTTTTTGGCTTTAGATTCTGGCTGCCAGCTATTTTTACTAGAACACAGAAAGCCTATCAAAGACCTTTTGTGTATATGAGTATGAGAGAGTGTGTGTTTGTTCGTGTGTGCGTGTGTATGTTTGTGAGAGTGAATATAAATATATATAAATATATATAAATAAATATATATATATATCCTCTGTATAAAATGAGGTTTCAGTACAAAAGGAACCATGGGTGACCCTGTGATAGCCACAGCCATTTTTCATCCCATCTTCATCACCCACATGGCAACATCTGAAAACTAACTCAGGCCCAACCTCCCCCAGCTCATTCAGAATCACACTGTGTGTTGGGCACTTACGAAATATTCATCTCCATGTTCCAATAACAGCAACATTGCTCCTTTAGTGTTCATTAACAGGCAGCGATGGCGGGAATCTTCATGTCACATTCCAACGCTGGGACCCCCTATTTAAAAGAGAAAATAGACATTTCACTATCTTTTAGAGCTTTGGCTAGGCTAGCCAACTACCCCTCTTCAAGTTATGAAGTGAGCATCGCCATAGAAGTTAGCTGTAAGTACTCAAAACAGCCACCCTTTTCTGCATCCATCTTTGCAGCCAAATGTATTGGAGCTTTTTTTTTTTTTCAGTTGGATGGATTAAGAATATGGATTTTTGCAAATTCTGGACTGTTTACCCAACTTCTGCTGTCTTACTTCTCTGAAACTCAAATATACTTTCACAGTCAAAATAAGAGTTGTAAATCAGCATGAAATAGGATAACAGCTGCTCATCGGTCGGCTGGAAGCTATTCACTGGCCTGACAGGCAAAGAATGAATGGGTGATGTGTCTCTGTTTAAAGGAAAAATGATTCAGAAGGTATTATGTCCTCACTTCTAGCTATATCCAGCAGACAGCAATCCAAAATGATGAAGTCGATCAAAACCTCTAAGCGTGGAATCCTTACCCCAAGAGAAGCCATTTTAAGGTAGAAGTCTAATTAAGAGTAGCAGAGGGAACCTAATTATTTCTGTTTCTTAGAATTTGTAAGCTATTTAGAGACATGCTTGTATTTTTAATTGGCATGCAATTTAGAGATATGCTTTTATTTTGAAAGGCATGAACAAACATTAACTATTTTTTTTTCACAGCCACAATATTCCTATTCCTAAGTACACTTTTACATTTTCTCTAAGATTTACAGAGCATCATCATATTATCAGAGTTGCTCACTGCAAGTTAAAACACAGCCAGATGTCTTCATTACAATCTGTGTTCCGGGGCCAGCAGCACCTGCTCCCCCGTACATGGAAGCAGCTTGAATTCCCGCCGTCCGCTACCTCTCATCAGTCCACCTTCCTCATCTTGCTCCAGGGTCACCCTGGTCAGCTCTTGTGCTGGGACGAGGGATTATACCATCTCTGTTCAAAGAGGGGGAAATGTGCCTATGCCTTAAGTCAATGCACTCAGCAAGGAGAAGCACATCCTAGTTATCTCATTGTTACTTGTCGTTTATTTTGGGTGATTGGAGGGGAATGGTGTAGCAATGACCAGGCACCTGAAAATCTGGCAGACAAGCAAGTGGTTGACAGGTATGGATTCGAAGGAGTCCAGAATGGAAATAGAACTGGCTTAGGCAATTCCGGTTGCCATTTGGCAGAAATCACCCCAACCCCACAATCCTAAAAGAAGAACAATTTGTAGTCCTGAATGGCATTTTTTTTTTTTTACCCTCTCAACAAGGTTTGACTTTTCCTTAGTTCACAAGAAGGGAACGGGTCATCAGGGAAGATGAATGATGCTTTAAGATGAGCCTCAAGCATCGGGCTGACAAGTTTGCACACACGAGATGGAAAAGCAAGTGGTATGTTGCTTGGTACCTTAGAAGCTGCTGCTGTCTTCTAGATCCCAGACTCGCTCCAATCACTCTCACACAACAGCCCTTGCAGAAGAACTAGATTGGCCAATCTTAGGGCAAAGCCATCAGGTTGTTTCATATAAAGCACTTGAGATTCAAAAGCAAAACCATGACAGACACGAGGTTGCGCTGGTTACTATTACTATCCTGTGGGTCATGCTGCCAGAGTCTGTGTGTTTCACACACAGGACATTTTCCAAGGCGGAAAGACTCTGCTTGGATACTGGGACCATGTTCCCCATTCCTTTCAGTGATACAATGACAGCTACGGGGCCCAGCATTATAGGAAAGACAGCACATTGGAGTTTTAGTTCAATTAAAAAGAAAAAAAAAATGTGATCCACATAAAACATAAGGGTAATCATTATCATAAATGGAATGAAAATTGTAACAGCAACCAAGAACACAAAGGAAGCATATTGGGGGACATACATTATCTAAAACATTGCTTTTCATAAGTGAAATGACAACAACATGCCAAGAAATAAGCAGAAATGTTGATATGAATTAAATTATACCTTTCAGTTCAGACTTTAGGATCATTAAAAATGCAGTCCATATGCTTCACTATATATTTTCTTCTAGAGCCCTCCAACTAAAAATTTATCCATGATCATGAAGGAAAGTTTTACCTGACTTTTAGGGAGAAAACAATTAACTTTTAATTTTAAAAAATTCTTTCTAATCTTTATTCTTTTTCTATTTTTTTAATTTTATTTTTTATAATCTTTACATACTTAATCAGGGTAAAAAGATTCAAGGGCTATGGGAAAGTGGGTAAGACTATTATTTCCACATTGTTTCCTTCATGTATCTGAGGTAAAAGGGGATATTGAGGGAGAAGCCCCACCCTCTAATCTTTATTCCTAATGTCTTCTGGACAGTCACACGTTCGGGTATGGCAAGCAGTTAATCGTACAACAAAGAAAAACTGCAAATGAATATTCAAATTGCCACAAGTTGCTATATAAATATGTTGCTATTTTTCTCAAGATTTTTATAAATTAAAAACTGATCTCCACATTTGCTTATCATTTAGTCCCATTCGGTATCTGCTATCTGTCACAAAATTCCATTTTGGGAAACTACTCAAGGATGGCGAAGGTTGTCAGAAGCCCTCAGCAGGCGTCTACCTAAGTGGGATCTTGATAGGTGGCTTACATAACTGTTCTGTTCCCAAGGACAGGTTTCATAAACTCCCATTGTTGTTTTTTTTTTTTTTTTGCTTCCTGTAGGTCATTTTACCTTTGAGTAATTTTCACAGTATATTCAGCAACCATAGACCAAAGATTCTTTGAGATTTTGCTCTTGAACAGGAATGAGCAAACTATGTCCTGGAAACCTACTGTGACTCAGCAACTATTTTTATAAATAAACTTTCAATCTAACACACCCCTAGACATCCCTCCATAGGTAGTCTAGGGCTGAGTTTGCATTATTACAGAAGGAGGATTGTGCCAGGCACTTACAAGGTCTGCAAGGCACAGCATAATTGCACATGACCTGCACTGGAAAAGTTAGCTAAGCCCTGACCTAGAGGTTATGCATTGAGGGTAAAAGCCAATTTTCCAAAAGCATGGAGTATACCTACATTTTCAGGTGGAGTCAGGAATCAATATTCATAGAGAAGTATTTTAAGAAGGCAGGCCTTCCTTACACATGGGTAGATATGATCCACTTGTCAACTAATTACTGAGAGAAAGGTCAATGGTGTAAGGGGAGGCTCACCAAGAATGTTCTCTGAGGACCCTGAATAAGTACACGGCTCCTCAGATCAGTATCTATGTATGGCCAGTGAAGTAGGGAATCCTGTGACCTAAACTTCAGATCTCTCTTTATACAGAGACTGCTTCTACCCTCTGTAACCATGGTTTCGCACCTCCCCTGCAAGAAAGACAGTTTCTGACATATGACTTTTTGGTCTCTACCACAACCAGTTTGCTTATTGTCTCTATAGCCACATCAGACATGATGTGTACCCAGCGGTACAAATAAGCAATTGCAAGTTTGGGGAAAAGCAACTTGAAATAGGTAGGAAGAAAAAAATACAGTAAAATGTGTTTCATGAAACTGCTTCTGGGGGACCAGATGAATGATGGTTGTGTCCCAAGATCCTATGTCTTTGATATTATGGGAATGCAAAAAGGGACATGATTTGAGCTCTCTAACAATCCTGCATCTGTGCAGGAAGGCAGGTTCATTCCTTTTGCCAATCCTAGCCTTTACATATTATTGTAAACAGCATCAGTTATGAATAACTGTATTTAGGAGTATTACCTTATAGGAGGAAGTTTTTTTTTTTCATTAAAAACAACCACTATTTACCATACAGAACCCTACTTAAGAGACGCCCTCAGACTTTTACTTGGATGTGTCAAAAATGATTAACTATATGACACTAACATTTCACAGGAACAGAACCAGATTATCTTGCTTTTTAATTTTTTATTTTTTAGTCCAAAGGTAGTGCGATGTTTGGACCAAAGCAGGCAGTGGGTCCATTTAAGCACCTGATCCTTATTTTTTAAGGCTCTATGAAATGTGAAAAATCTCATTTTAATAACTTGTAAGCAAGACCAGTTCTCCTCCTTCCCCCTGCCCTGGAAAATCTTACACACACAAAAAAAGAGCCATCCTTAAATTCATATATTTGCATGGAACACCACTAGCAGGTAGGGAAAAAGTTATAATAAAAGCAACAACCTTAGAAAACAGGCCTTTCATCTCAAAGATAAAATATCTCTCTGGTCTTTCATCACTTTCTCCTTGGTGAAGGTTTCCCCAGTTCCAACATATTTCCATTAAAATAGTCAAAGCTACTCCATTGGCATGTCCGATGCATCTCTTCTTTGTGGTAATCGGAATTTAAAATTACACAGTTGCTTCTGAATTTCTCATTCACAAAGCCAGACCACTGATAAGAGATAAAGCATTCTGAAACCTGCTGCTTCCGCCAGCACTGCACACCACACACATTAGCACTTTCAAAAGCAATGTGATTTCTATGGTTCTTAAAACTGTCTTCATATTGGAATCCTTGGAATTTCTCAGGGCAGGTCTGAACAGCAAAAGAAAAATCATTATTTATAGGAGGTCCTCCTTTTAAAGCACATCTGGAAAAGATAATACTCCCTTGGGAACACTTCTTCATACATATTACTTTCTTTGTTTTTCTGTCCACTTTGTTTTTGCCAGTACTGACAGAGTAGAACACTGCTATCTTCCTCTAAGGAGTGCAAGAATGTTGTGAGTCCTTGGTGCAACAGCAAGTGTGATATCACACACAGGAATAATGTTATCAAATCCAGGTACACTTAATCTCAAACATACCAAGAGCAACCACTTCGCCTTTGCGACTGCACTAGAACAAAGCCAGCCTCCCCAGGGCAAAACACACATGGAGTTCCGGTTCACCTGTTACAAGGGAAAGCCGGAGTAGAATTCCGGATGCTTTGTCAGGTTTGTGGGCTCACTTAAACAACAAGTGAGCAAGCTAGCGTTTTTCTCATCACTGAACCTTTGTAAAAAGTCACCAAAATAAGTATAA